ATGATATAAAAAAATTGTTGGATTAGCAAATTGTGCACCCATGAGGTGAGTTTATTCAACAGCCACATCTAATAAGAAAGTTTTTACTGTAAATGTAAATATACTCAAAGTATTTCAAAAATTTTAATATCTTGATAGTAATACTATAAATATTGTATCTGATGTAGATATAAATTAGATATTAGAAATAAATCGAATTTACAAATAAAGAAATTTCATTGCTTTATAAAAAGTGCATACTCTGATAATTTACAGCCTCAATAAATATGATTGAGATGGAAATTGACTAATACAAGCTTTTTGTCAAAGGCTTTTAAAACTAATATCAATTAAACTTATTTTATGTGAAAAAACATTTCTACATTAAATTTGTTATGATTTTTGCTAACAGATTTTAATATTATATATTATATATGAGAGATATGAGTGATATATGAGTACATGTATGTGTGTATATCGTGACATACTATTAACTGCTTGACCAAGTGCTCTACTGGACCGGATAGGCAACAATTGATTTTAGTTCACTGCTAATTAAATTTTTATGTAAACTGAATACAAGTTGTGATTTCAATTAATTAAAAATTGTAAATCCATTGAGTGATATACTTAAAAACATAGAAAATTAGATACTATAATCGCATTCGCATTAAGTATATTTATATTGTATTAAATATATATTGCTATCATCAGATTGAAAAGTATTGTTTTTACCTGTTTAATGCACACTGGAATAAGCTACGTTTAAGAAGTAGTAAATACAAATCAAAAAAAAAAAAAACAAGAAGAAAAAAACACTAAAATAAAACTATTATAAAATAGTTACGTATTTGCTGTAAAACGTACCAAAGTAAAAATTTTAATTACTTTGGCTGCCGAACACCTCGAAGATGAACATTTCACAACATCAAATTTTCAGCGTTTTTTCTAGTACCTACCGAGCATACCTTCTTCGCTTTCGATTATTTGTAAATGTTGCTTGCACAGTTTCACAGAAAGCCAAAAATATACTCTGAAGCCCTAATCATTTGTGCGGATGACTAGACAACCAACGCAGCGCCACATTATAGAAACCTCATAGACCAACTCTTCTCTGTATGTTTCTTATGTCTACTTTGTATCTATATTTTTTTTCTTGATTTTTTTTTTTAACTTCGTTAATGATTTGCAAATTGTGGACAACATTGCGTGTCACAACTCAAACCAATTTTGATGTATATTTTAATTAATAACAATGGTTTTACTGTGAAAATAATAGTCATTATACCAAAAAAAAAAACGAAAACTCTAAAGGAAAACGCACTTCATAAGCGTCACTTCTGTATCTGCATTAAAAGGGCTTAAGTATGACCTACGGCAAGGTAGTTCCCCATATTACCTTAAAGACGAACGTCATTAAAAATGTAACTATAATAGCGTAACAACGACAAAATAGTGAGATATGCTGCATCAGCTTGAGGTTTAAGGCAAGGAGCTTAAAGTTGGGAAGATGCAAGAAAACACAAATGACGATAAACCTTTTTGACACAGTAATTGTAATTCCAATTCGTGGAAATATCCATTAAGTTAATTTTGTGAATCTCACTTTTTTTGAAAAATTTGCAAATAATTATAATTATTTAAACATCAATGGAACGGTCAAATTTTGAGTTCATTTGGTCACCATTTACACAATTTGCTTTATATACTTTACTAAATACTTTTTTATTTATAATTTACTAACCTATAATTAAAATTATTTAATTATTGTGGTTTTTATTTAGCCATTAATCATTGGGACCAAAACAAAAAATATACATATATACAGTAATTATATACAAATTATTATGTATAAAATAAATTGATATATACTCATCATTTACTATATATCATATATATACATATATAAATATATATGATTATAATTAAAAATAAAGAAACTGTCAAAATTTTGCACTTATGCATAAAATTAATTTCGTTTTGGTTTAGATTTCAAATTGCCAATAACCAAAAATATGTTGATTGAAGCCAATTTGGATACAAAAATTAAGAAAAAATTTTTCCCAAATTGCAAATGATATTACCTTCTTCATGGTTAATCAATTTTTTTTATAATAATAATTTTTAAGCAAAACAAATCGTACTGGAAAGCGTAACTAATCCAAACTCTTATATACAAACTCGTCTGGATTGAGATAGTACCCATGCAATAAGAAATTATTTACAAAAAATAGCACTTTAATCTATATAAGAGAAAATGATTTCAGAATAACAATTTTAAAGTAATATATTTAATATTTACTTCTTAACTTTAATTCAGATTAATCTCATTATTATTTAAACAATGCAATGTAAATTTGCTAATATTTTTATTTTTATATATAGTCAATAGTGAAGAAATTTAATTAATTTTCCATACTTCAACATAAAAATTTGAAAATAATTTTTAATTAAATAATAATAAATTAATTAATAATTTAGTAAACCGTTGGTATCAAAAAATTACTTACGAATAATTAAATACAAGAAATAATTGCAAGACCACTGATGATGGGTATTCAGCAATACTCGAAAGAGCTGTATGATCAGTCAAAAATTCATTTAATTAATATAATATGAAAATAATTTTTGTTGTTGTAATTTACTGCTTTTCTGAATCTCTCTATAATTAAGTAAAGTTATTATATGCTCTTTCTTTAAAAGTAATAATTTTGACACAAAAACAAAACTGATCCCATCGAAATAATAAATAATGTATATAATAGAAAAAAAAATTTTTAATAGACATTATCCCTAAAAATTTCTTGGATTTGATTAAGAATATATATATCTATACTCCTTTGTGAGAGAAAAAATTTATTTTACATCGAAATATGAAATTTTAATAGCATTTGGAAAATAACTCTGTATATTGAAATTATTCCAGTGATATTTCAATTTATCTAACTAATAGCTAGTTACTAATAAATCATTAAGCTTCACCCAGAACATCATTCAGTTTAGTAAATTCTTAAGTTTAGTAAACCTAATATTTAGCTAATTATGTCATCAAATTTGAAGATTTAACTCAAATGATTATTCAGTAATAAATTCCTTAATGTTGCTAACTTAATACCTCATAATTCATAGGATTTGAAGATTTTACTCAGATGTTCATTCAGTTCCTTAATTTTGCCGCGATTAGTATTTTTTAATCTTTAAGATTTGTACAGTGAGCTTAAAATAATTATACTTCTCATTAACTTTAAATAAGCGAAGGAATGATAATCAATCGCTCAATGCGATGGAGTTCTACAGTGCACAAATGCCAATCTATTCTTATGGATTTTCAGTGCACAATGATCCTGTAACTGAAACACAGCAGGCAAGTGATGAGATTAGAACAAAAAGACTCTATAACATTGCAAGAACTGTTGGCATGAAAGTGCTATACATGATTAACAATGTAGTGAATAAAATTAATTCATTGATTAATTACGGATGTTATCATGGTAAGTATATAGTATGTAAAGAAGAAGCAATACTCAGGCCAACGGTTGCCACTTATGGTACTTAGTACCAAATTGGTACTTTTTTTTCCGTTTGGTACTCTGGTACTCATGTTCAAAAAATGGTTACATTTTCGGGCGACCCAACTTTTATTGTGGAATTGTATTGGTTTTATACTTTTTGTACATTTTATATAAATTGTTTTTCTTATAAAAAGACAATAGAAAAATTTTGGACCTTTTTTTACAGAAATGGTACCTTTTTAAACCAATTTTGGTACAGAAAAAAATTTTCAAGTGGCAACCGTGCTCAGGCCCCACCAATCGTCCATAGTTACAATCTCCTATACTCTCTCTTTATTGACGTTGAACGAATTTTTGACCTATTACTGCATGCCACCAACTGCACTTAAATAGAAAGATATTGCTTGGAAATTAATGAATTTGGTAAACCGTACTCCGGTGCGGTTTGTTCTATCCTGTGTGCGGGGTGGTCCAGCAAATGTATCGCAGTGAACGCTGGAATATGACAATGCTGTATAATTTTTCCGCTCTTATTGTGTATCATTATCAACGTCACTTTTTTAAGGAAAATTAGAAAAGAATAACACCCATCTCACATAGTAGGCTTAACGATCTGGACTGCATTGTTTAATGTCTCAAATTTAAGTGCAATCTAAGTGCAAGGCAACGATTATGTTTAAAATTTTTGTTACCTAGGTAACAATATTTGAAATAACGATAACAGAAAACAAGCCACACAAAATATATTGACAAAAGGTGGGAAAGTATTAGGGAACCTGAAAAAGTATTCTTACCTTTGAAAGTTTTATTCCTTCACTTTTGTTATAGAATAATTATAGACTCACTTTTGTATGATAATAAAAGTTAGATCAGCAGCGCTCAATTACTACAAAACATTGCCAACCTCTGACTTCTCCGCATCAAAGACTGAGGAATTATTTAGAACCAGGCGAGCGCAAATTATCACAAAATTAATAACCTAAAAATATAAGTGGGTTCTCTTATGCTTACGCAGACTAACAAAAAACAAAAAAGAAATTCTTCATTATAACTTCTAAGGTAAAAGACGATTCAGGTATCTCAATAATATACGGAATAAACAACTTAAATCCGAACTGCAACTTAATTGGAGAGGTCAGAATGTGGTCAGTGGAAAATTATTGGCCTCTAATTTGAACCTCTTAATGCACAATAAAGTTTAGCTGAATGAGTCAAAAGATACTATTTGTTTCGGAAATCTGTTGAAAATACTATTAACAACATATTAGTTTTACATGACAAGTTAGGTTAAAAATTTTTATACATATGTTATAACAATACCTGTATATATCATAAGTATTAGCAAGGTCTATAATTGCAAGAAACTTAAATTAAGTAACTTAAATTAAAAAGAAAATTTTAAGAGAAAAACAATTTATTTAAATTAAAACAACAAAATAAATGCAATAACAACAATTGATTAAGCTAAAACAACAACTAAAAAGTAGTAAAGCTTCACTAATGAAAATGTTAATGGAAGTATCTGGATGGTGGCAAATATGCATTATTGATGGGTTGACTATATTGGTTTTGTACAGGTGCAACAGCTTCTGCTTGTTGCAACTGCTGTTGTTGCTGCTGAGACTGCAAAGAGTTTTGTGCAGCAGCAACATATTCTGGCTCAGGCTGATCTACTTCAGTAGCTGCGGCTGCATGTTTCACTGCATCCAAACTACCAATTACAGAAGTAACAGGTGAGACACCCTCATTTGAAATAAAAGTGGAACCACCCAAATTGTCATACTGAGCCTGTATGGTTTGCTGTGCATGAGCAGCTTCCTCTGAAGTCTTATATTTGATAAAGTAGACCTCGGGTTTACTAGTTGTGGTTGCAGGTTCAATAACTTGAGCATCAACTTCGCTGCTGTCGTGTTTCTTGGCCAAAACGTAGATGACAGTACGTTCCTCATTAGCAGCGGGTCTAATTTTGACGGATGTTCTTTGTGCAGCTCTTGATGGCGCCTTGATAAAGACAACATTGTAGTTTTTGCGTGCTTGACCGACTGTTATAGTTTTTTCACTTCTCGCCTCCTCTTCTTCTTCTGGAGCGCTGTGTATAAAGAACCGTTTTGTCACCAAAGCTTCAGCAGATTTTTCGGCAATTTGATTTTGTTGCTGTTGATAGACTGCTGGTGCTTGTAAGGCATTCGCAGCAACTACAGCAGGCGCCAAATAACGTGCCTGTGGTGCTGTTGGTATACCAGCAGGCGAGATTTGTTGTTGCACTGCCGCTGGAGCAGTTGGTATGAACTGTTCACCATTATTAGCATTAACAAAGGCATCAATTTGTTGTTGTACTGCATCAAAATTTTGACTAGTCTGCGCAACACCATTTAAATTTGATGTAATGCCAGATGATGTGGGTAATACATCTTGTTGATGTGCATAATTATATCCTTGTGGTGCAGCAACAGCTAAGCTTGCAAGGCAAAGTATCTGAAATATGAAATAGAATTTTAGTAAAATAAGTGCTGGTTCCATTCCTTGCTAAATGTTTATTTTTATGAGAAATTACATACAATAAGTCCACGCATGTTCCTACTTGTTTATGGAATGTTCGTTGAACAGCAGTGTATTGAATCTGTGCCAAAACTTGAGACGCACATAACTTTTATACAAATTGCCCTACAATCTTTGTGTACAATCAATTAGTTCAACAAGCTTAAGTCAAAATTTACACCTCATCAGTTTTAATTTTCGTCAGTATGTCTTTATTCATGCACAATGTACACACCGTGAACTCCATTCACACATTTGGCCGTAATATAGATGATTATTGAAATTGCACTACGTTTTGTCGATACAATCCATCAATTATAAAAAAATTAAAACCAGAAATAGCTTCAGTCGTAGACTCCACCGACGCAACGGCAATTACTTAAGCGTCCCCCTGCGAACAATTGCTCCATAAAATTGAATGATAAAGCGCGTAATTTCGAGCACTTCATTTAGTTTTGATTGTTTAACATTTTGCCTTTTTCATTGCGGTTTCCTCAAAAATTTAATGAATTCGAAAGTGGATTTGCCAGTGTTGAATGGCACCGCTGGACATCTTCCAATTGTTTTTGCCGCGTCTGCCTCCACTGCCTCGACTTCAGCTAATTTAATTTGTTTTAGTTCGCATTTTTTGTGTGTAATGCACATTCCGCAATTCCCAACGAACCTGGCCGGTCGGGTCGATTGCATTAAACATTGAACAACCATGTACCATATACTATATACCATACATCCATAACACTTTCCACCAAAAATCTTCACCCATTTGTGATTTGTGCATTAATCATTTCACATTGCGATTAGCTGTTGTTTTTTATAGTTATTTGTTTTTTTCTTTATGATTTTCTGATTTTGTGGGTTTGTGCTACAAACCTAATTTCATCTTAAACTCCGAAAATCTATTTTTGATGATGTACGGTTCGTTGTTCCCTGCCTAGTTTAGTTGTTACATCATCTGACAGCATCTCATTAAAATAATTTGTATCTCTTTAATTTTGTGTACTTTGCTAAGTTACTGTAATGAGTTTCGGTAAATAAATTCATTAGGCGTTCGCTGCGATGCCATGATTTCCTTCTTGCAATGCAAGTGGGCAGTGCAGTTTGCATTTATACTTTACGCGAGTTCAGTTCAACTCGGACTGTGAAAATTTGAGGTTTCAGTTACAAATATTTTATCAAGTTTTTTAGATTTCCTTAATTAAGCAAAACAACGAAATGGTGAAAATGATGGATGATTTCAATTAGGAATGCTTCAGTTTTCAGCTACTGGACTATGACGGTAATAAAATGTCAGCGCGCAATGCCCAAATTTTTTTCGGATAATTCACTTAAAGTGTGAGAATTTGAAGTTTCAACATTTGTTGCAACAAAAAGTTAAACACATTCTCTTCGCATTTATTAAGACACAATATTTATGAAATATTTTATGGGAAATGAAATAATAATTGTAAAAGATAAATGTTGAATGCGAAATATGCATTTAATAAAGCATACGTAAATTTTTGGAAAATCCAGAAAAATAAATGTATTCATGTTGATTGTAAATTTTAAATGTAATTACTCATTCCAAGTAAGGTGCCTACCCTTACACGATAGACATTCAAAAGTTAGCATAAAGGCTTACCCTTAACCAAACGCCTCTACGTTGTATAATATAATGGGATTCCTGTTCACTAAAAATATAATAGACAACATTAAACTAACAGTAAAAGTGTTGCCTTGTAGTCTATATGTATGTAAAGTTATCGAAAGACTTAGTCAGTGTGAAACTTCAACACACTAAACTCACCCACAATTTTCGACGATTAGCACTCTCGGGATCATTGAGCTGGTGTTTCGTCAAGTGGCCGTGTGGAGTACGAAGTTTCAACATCAATTTTTTGCCATCATTTTTCTTATTAATCACACTTATCAGCCCGCATTTTCATATGTTGCAGTAGTGTTACTGTAGCTGTTCTTATTGAGAACACATTTCATGGTTATGTGAGTAGTGATAGCTCTTTGCGTTCTTCTTCGCTATGTTTAAGACAATGTGTAATTAGAGTTGTAAAGATTTCGACTGGATGCCATTTGAAACTACTTAAACACATTTTATATATTATACCGCTAGGAAATGGTAGATGTCCTAAAACTTCCAAAGACGTTCTAGCTCCATTTCAAAGCGATTGTAACGAAAGGTTGGGCAGTGGACTATCGGCCAGCTAAAATCTGTGAAGATATTCTTTGTATGTATGTATTTATGTATATGTAGAGAGAATTATTAAACATATGCGTAAGCAAAGGTGCGAAAGTTTATTGGACTTGTGATCTACAGTTTCTCGTAAAGCCATAAACTAACCTCTGACAAAAGTTTATCAGCTATTGGTCAAAACAAGGTTGCCCACACCAAAAATAATACTTTCTAAAGGCACAAGTAAAAATGATTAAAATAGCAATAAAAGTACAAAATTGACAATTGTGATATGACTTTCTTACATGATTCTCGTACATGATTTCTTTCACTACCGCTTAGAATATAACCATGCCATGGCCATTGATCATATGATTATCTTTATAAGATGGTCGTTATGAAGACATACCAATAATAATATTTTTAAAAGGCATAGCTAAAAAGTATCAAAAAAGCAATAAAAGCACAAAATTGACGATTATGATATGACTTTCTTAAATGACTCTCTTTCACGACCAGTAAGAATGTAACCATGGCCACTGGTCATATGATCATTAGCAGATTATTATTCTCCTAATTAATATTTTTAAATGAGTTTTTTGTTTTAAAATTAATATTAATAAAAATAAAGTAAATACAATTACTAGACATAGGCAACAACAACACAATAACAACACAATATACACATATATCTATCTAGAGTAGCCAAGAGTAGCCAAGAGTAGTACTATACCTCAGAAAAACATATTAACGAGTTTCTATAAGCTGCACTATTTTTCCTAATATCTGTTTTATTAAGCATGCAAAATAACACACAGCATTATTGTATTAATGAATTTCCGAATTCATTTTCTAAATAATTAGTTAAGGAATACAAAATAGAATTGATTGAAAATTAATATTTCAGCAACTAAGTGGCTATAAAGATTTATTGTTTACAAATAACTAAACCTGATGACTCAATTCAGTGGGTTAATCAACTGGAGCTAATGGTGTCACGAAGGAGCACAGTTTCGCCGCTTTGTTCTGGTCATTATATATTTTTTCCATCAATATTGTTGATGTTTCGAATGAGTCTAAAACTATGTTTCAAAAATATAAAATAATTTTTTGTGAAATTAACTAGGGCACAGAATAATGCAATACTTACAGAACTCAAAATCAAACATTTATTCAAATAATTAAATAATTAATCAATTTAATTTCGAATCCAATTAAAATAATAAAACAAGAAAGCAGAAATAAGTGTTTAAAATTATGAAATAATTATATTTCTACAAATAAAATTAAGCAATTTTGATAAAATTAAATTTTTTTTTTTGTTTTGGTACAAATATATTCATTACTTACCACAACAAAGCGTAAATAATAATTAAATTTCAAATAAAAAATTATTTTGTATGAATTTGGACGGGCACGCAATAATTTCCAATTTAAAAAATTAAAAAAAAACTGATTAAATTTTCTACGGTTTTGTATCGATTAATAGAAAAAAAAATTAAAAAATTTTTAATTTCATATTTTTTATAAATATATCTACATTTTGTTAAATATTCAGCAAAACTAACAAAACATTAATCACTGATGAAAAAATACATCAAAAGTGTATAATACAACTACAATATTCAACAAACAATGTCTGTCTTTATCTTGTATCTCGTAATTGAGCTACATAAACAAATCTATTTGCAAAACAAAATTAGTTTTGCAAATTAATTAAAAAAATTGTTCATAAAAATAATTTTAAAGTTTTTAAACCATAAAAATAAATACTTATTTGCATACAACACAATTTGCGAAATAATCGTTTGTTCCGGTAAGAAATGAATAGGTATCTATTCTGTCATATATGTTACTTAGTATCCTATTTAGTGACGAATTTGCTTAATTATCTCTTGTCAGAAATATGTTGCTGCTCTTGAGACTTGTGTGGTAACAAAAACGGTAATTACTTATTCAATTTGCGGCGCTCATCGCAGATTTCTCAAAACTTCTCAAAAAAATGTCTTGACAAAATAAAGCTCAAGATAGTTACATGACATTTTAATATGCACTGGCACACAATTTGTGGTCAAATCTCAAATGAAAGCAGGTTTATCTTAATTTGCAGCTTCATTCAACTTCACATTTGTGGAATTTCAAAAAATGTTGGTCAACTTCAGACGACTTAATCTGTTCACGCTGCATTTAATTTACATCCATTTTTCAAATTTTTCAACCGAGCTCAGGAAATTTATGTTCAACTTAATTTGTTATGACAGCGAGGCGTTGTTGTATTTACTTTCATTTCCGTTTCAATCTTTTTCTTGATAGCACGACTTTAAGCAAAATATATCAGAAAATAATGTTGTTTAGCTTATGAAATGAGCTTTTATCTCAATACTTATTTATCTACAATTCGTTTGAATGTGTGAATAGGATAAGATACAAACGCATTAAATTTGCTTTAAGATGAAAGCTAAATACACTTTGTGTAGAGCTTCGGACAACTAATTTGTATAGCTTTTTTAATATTAAGGTGACCAGATACTGATCAAAAGCTTTCTTTATATAAGCTAAAAAATTTAGTTAACTAAATAACGCTTAATTACATCATATTATTTTTTATTATTATTATTTTTTAACATTACACTTTTATAATTATTATTTTATTATAATTGCATTATTGACATTATTTAAATATTACTCTTTGTTATGACTATTTTTTTTATTACTGTTTACTAATTTATTATTACTAATTTTTTGTGTTATTGTTATTATTATTATTATTAAAACTTTTAACTGAAATCGCCCAGCAGCCGGTACTACGACCAGA